CAGACCCACGCGGCAGTCATAGTATCACCCAGACCCACGCGGCAGTCATAGTATCACCCAGACCCACAGGGCAGTCATAGTGTCACCCAGACCCACGGGGCAGTCATAGTATCACCCAGACCCACAGTCATAGTATCACCCAGACCCACAGGGGCAGTCATAGTATCAACAGACCCAGCGGCGATCATAGTGTCACCCAGACCCGCAGGGCAGTAATGAGTCTCACCCAGACCCACTGGCGGCTTGATCGCCAGTATCACCCAGACCCCGCAGGGGGCAGTCATAGTATCACCCAGACCCACGGGGCAGTCATAGTATCACCCAGACCCACGCGGCAGTCATAGTATCACCCAGACCAACGGGGCAGTCATAGTATCACCCAGACACACGCGGCAGTCATAGTATCACCCAGACACACGCGGCAGTCATAGTGTCACCCAGACCCACGCGGCAGTCATAGTATCACCCAGACCCACGCGGCAGTCATAGTATCACCCAGACCCACGGGGCAGTCATAGTATCACCCAGACACACGCGGCAGTCATAGTATCACCCAGACCCACGCGGCAGTCATAGTGTCACCCAGACCCACGCGGCAGTCATAGTATCACCCAGACCCACGCGGCAGTAATAGTATCACCAAGACCCACGGGGCAGTCATAGTGTCGCCCAGACCCACGGGGCCGTCATAGTGTCGCCCAGACCCTCAGGGCAGTCATAGTATCACCCAGACCCACGGGGCAGTCATAGTGTCACCCAGACCCACAGTCATAGTATCACCCAGACCCATGGGGCAGTCATAGTATCACCCAGACCCACGCGGCAGTCATAGTATCACCCAGACCCACGCGGCAGTAATAGTATCACCCAGACCCACAGGGCAGTCATAGTGTCACCCAGACCCACGGGGCAGTCATAGTATCACCCAGACCCACAGTCATAGTATCACCCAGACCCACGGGGCAGTCATAGTATCAACCAGACCCACGCGGCAGTCATAGTGTCACCCAGACCCACGGGGCAGTAATAGTGTCACCCAGACCCACGCGGCAGTCATAGTGTCACCCAGACCCACGGGGCAGTAATAGTATCACCCAGACCCACGGAGCAGTCATAGTATCACCCAGACCCACGGGGCAGTCATAGTGTCACCCAGACCCACGCGGCAGTCATAGTGTCACCCAGACCCACGGGGCAGTCATAGTATCACCCAGGCCCACGGGGCAGTCATAGTGTCACCCAGACCCACGGGGCAGTCCTAGTGTCACCCAGACCCACGCGCCAGACATAGTGTCACCCAGACCCACGCGGCAGTCATAGTGTCACCCAGACCCACGCGGCAGTCATAGTGTCACCCAGACCCACGCGGCAGTCATAGTGTCACCCAGACCCACGGGGCAGTCATAGTATCACCCAGGCCCACGGGGCAGTCATAGTGTCACCCAGACCCACGGGGCAGTCCTAGTGTCACCCAGACCCACGCGGCAGTCATAGTGTCACCCAGACCCACGCGGCAGTCATAGTGTCACCCAGACCCACGCGGCAGTCATAGTGTCACCCAGACCCAGGCGGCAGTCATAGTGTCACCCAGAAACACGCTGCAGTAAAAGTGTCACCCAGACCCACAGGGCAGTCATAGTGTCACCCAGACACACGCGCCAGTCATAGTATCACCCTGCCTGGCGTTATATCAGCCTCCATGTTATTATATTTTTGCTCCGTGTGTGGCTTTATAACGCTGTGTGTTATTACATGCTTCATGTCGTGTTCACTAATGTATCAGGTGATTTTGTTTGGCTGCACTAGGATTGCCAGGTAGCCGAGGAGAGCCAGGCCCCCCAGGAGGTCCAGGGCGAAAAGGAGAGAAGGGAGACGAAGGTGAGGAATGGACACTGACAATCTTTACCTTTACCCTGACCCCTGATAATCTGCTAATTCACTGGGAGAGCCAATGAATCTGCACTGTCACCCAGAAAATCTGACAATTCACCCAGAGAATCTGACAATTCACCCAGAGAATCTGACAATTCACTGGGAGAGCCAATGACTCTCTGCAGTCACCCAGAGAATCTGACAAGTAATGCAGAGAATCTGCCCATTCACTCAGAGGATCTAAAAATTCACGCAGAGAATCTGACAATTCACCCATGGAATCTGCCCATAATGCTGCTTTCTCTTTCAAGGGCAATACATTGGGTGCATAGAAGTGTAATACATTTTAATGAGGGGCTCATTGTATGCCAGGTCTGCAAGGGTTAAAGGGAGAAGCCGGTACACCGGGTAACCATGGACTGGCAGGTTCTCCAGGACAACCTGGACCATCAGGAGAAAAAGGATCCAGCGGCAGAAATGGTAAGAAACTATTCTGTGCAATTTGGGAAATTCACTTTTAAAGTTATTTCTAGAAATATTTCAATTTATATAATTATATATTATAATTTATTACTATCACTAATTATTACTATATAGTTTATAATTTATGATCACTAGTTATTAATATATAGATTAAAATTATTAACTGTCACTAGTTCTAGATACATTATAAATACATATAACTGTGGGAACAGGGATAATAACTGGGGAGAAATTATAATAATAGGGCAGCAGGGATAATAACAGGGGCAGCAGGGATAATAACAGGGGCAGCAGTGATAATAACTGGGGGAGCAGGAATAATAACTGGCTGAGCAGTGATAATAGCTGGGATAGCACTGATAATAAAAGGGAGAACAGGGATAATAACAGGGGGAGCAGGGATAATAGCTGGGAGAGCAGGGATAATAGCAGGGGGAACAGGGATAATAACAGGGGGAGCAGGGATAATAACTGGGGAAGCAGGGATAATAACAG